GGCGGGGTCTGCCCTCGCAATGTTCTGCATAGTGTCAACTGGGGTGCTATTCTTGGAAAACAGCAAAGAACTCACCACTCCCTTTATCCTTCGTACGTAACAATAACCCATCTGTTCAGCGGAGTCTGGGATATCGTGCCGAGCCGTGGACCTTGAGGTAGACATTCTCACGGTGGACTGTGCTCTGGAATCTTCCTTCTCCTCTCCGATCTGTGAACTCGCCATTGTTCCTGAGCAGGTGGGGGTCACACATCGTGAATGTATAGATTCTAGATCTGTAGCATGAAGTCAAGCTTATGGACAGAGAAATAATAACTTTGATATCGCAGGCTCTCTCTTCTCTCTCTCTCTCTGGTGCTTTCTCTCTTTCTTCTTTTTTTCTTACTTCTTCCTTTCCTTTTTCATTCTTTCATTCATTCACATATTCATTCATCCATTAATAATAAATAAATAAATAAATTAAATTAATTAATTAATTTCTTTTTTCTTTCTTTCTCCTTTGGTTCCTTACGTCTTCCTTTCTTCCTTTAGCCTTGTAAATAAACTGAAGTCAAACTGAAGCAATGTCAATCGTTTGTTTGGCTTCTGATCATGTTTTTGACTGGAGAAAAAACAGACATAACAATGTTTCCTCCATCTCTCTTTCCCTTTCCCGTATCCCAGAAGAGAGTAGCAAAGACATTAATAATGTTTCGTCAGTTTTTGCGGTGACGGACTTAATAAAACAGAAAGCCCCCCCCCCCCCCCTTTAAACGCAAAGACAACACACAGCTGATTTTCAAGTGGATGGAGCATAATATTTTCTACGAGGAGATTGATTTTTTTTCGCTTTCCCTTCAATCGTGTATCGTTTACGAAGATAGGCATGATAAATGGATGTGAGAAGAAGGGCGTCTTCAGTCTTGAGTAGGCTATGTATTTATTTAGATTTTCGAAAAAAAAAGGGAATAATAGCCTGCCTTGACAGACTTGCTGTTCGACTTTTAACTGCCAAGTCCAAGGTAATCTTTAACAAATTGGTCTATACGTTTTTTGTCTATATCCCTGTCCCCGTAGTTTTATGCAAGAAAAATTCTGGAATTATGCAAACTGAGCACCAAAATGAGAAATTATGCGATTCTGTTAATTTTTAACAAAGAATGATAAAGGAAAATAATAAGAAATTATGCAAAAAATGATCAAATTTGGCTAAATTATGCGGGGTGCATAAAACCACATGGACAGATATCCGCCGAAAACACAATATCATGTTCTATCTGGCCTACTATGATACTACCAGAGGTGTGAATAAAGACTTAAAAAAACCACAAGCGGTTCACTCACCATTTGCTCGGACCTGGAATTGAATAAAAATCGTAACGAATGAGGTAAACTAAAACATGATAATTTTGTTAATGGGTAGAAAGTAACAGGTAGCTTTCTATCTCTTTCCAGCCCAGCAAACAGAGAGACGCTCGTGCGACAAACAGTCTGAGAGAGGCTGTCCTTGACCCCGCGTCACAGCTCTATCACTGCCTGTTGACAGGACGCATGAGTGAGGGGCGGGCCAGGTACAGCGTCATCGTGATGGATAGGTGGCATCCGCGGACCCTGGTCACTCTTGTCACTTTTGGTAAGGCATGAGACAGTGCAGTGGAAGTTTAGATTTTTTTCAAATTTTGTAAGAATTTTACTGTACTTGCAACCTAAATAGGTCACACATGGGCTGAAGCCGATAGATAGATAGATAGATAGATAGATAGATAGATAGATAGATAGATAGATAGATAGATAGATAGATAGATAGATAGATAGATAGATAGATAGATATTGACATCAGGTGACGTACACTGTGTTTAAGTCTAGTAAAACTTGAATGAACGATTAAAACCTAACAAAACAATGGAAGAGTTAACGTCTGTTTGTTCTCAGAGTCGTCCAGTGTGAGGCTGGAGTCAGACTGCACACGTCACGTGTACCAGGGACAGGCGTACGTGCTCAGGGAGAGGACTGCTCGCTGCACGTGCACAGCCACAGGCGGGATGCCTCCAAGCGGTACCCTCTCTATTTCTGTCAGGCTATATTAGTTGGTCATGTCTTGCATACATATCGGCGCCTGTTACATCTTTTAGGAGGTGGGCTACTTAGAACGTAGTAAAGCTGGGCAGCATGAGGACTGGGCAGTAAATAGCAACAAATGTCCCTTTTGGGAATGTGTAGCAAAGGGATTCCTTCCTCTCAAGCGACGCAGTGCTTACATCAGGATGTGCATTTAGGGACATTTTTGTCCTCTTAATCTAAGCCTAAAGATCTGTCAAAGAAGGTCTCAAAAACCTGAGGAGGTTAATGTTTCATCAAATCGTAACGCTTCTTGTTTCGAGTTCTTCTTTGCTTTTCCTTTTACAACCAAAAGCCCAATTTGTTGGTATTTTTTAAAAATCACCCAATATCAGTCTCTGCTCATCACTCTCCTTCCTTTCATCTCATTTGTATGTTGGCGCGTTTAACTTTTAGGAAGAACTTATATTGTGGTATGCTTCTGCTGTCAATTCTTTTCTTTGTTGTTCAGGCATTGCACGTTGGCTCAAGGCATATTGGGGATTTGCGACTGAAACAAACACATCTAGCAGCACATTGCAGATCCCGTGGCAAGCCGGTAAATACGTTCATCATACAAGTTAACCAGAAGTTGTCTTTATTTGAAATCCGAAACCGACGAATGCACTGTAGACTTTTATACATCTTCAAGGAACCCAGCGTAACGTGTTCACTTTATTTGCATTTGTATTGCATCTGTGAAACATCATGTTTTCTGATGAAAGAACAGATCAAGTCTGCATCGAACCAAAAACCTTAATTGTACCTTATTAAAAGGATCTGTCTCACTTAAACCCATTTGTGAGCGTGAGGACTTAAGCTTGGCATTGTTCGAGACTGTCTCGGGATCTTTGGTTGGACTATGAAACAAGCCTGGGGATAGAAGCGAGTTCTTTCAATTAGCTTACGCGAATCCCAATGGTTACCACAGTTCTGTATAGTTGATTATTTTCTTTCGCTACCGTTAAAGACAACGCATTTTAAACCGTACTCATCCCCATTTTCCCATCAGTATAAACACTGTTCACCCCACTACCCGTATCAGCTACCCTACCCCCAATTCCCACAACCCTCTAGTCCATTCTCCTCAACCCTCTTTCCTCCCATACATTCCCCTGCCTCAACCATGCCACATTTCTCCCCTCCTCTCCCTCTGTTTCCCCACCCTAAATCCCATCTCCCAGAGCCACTCTGCTATACGGATGATTGTATTGGAGGTATTCAAGACAATGTGCGTAATTGAGTCAATACTACACCGAAACCGATCTCGTTCCAATCTGTCTCGTATCAGAGGTGGCTCTGGGGACAGACAAGCAAACTCATCTCTGAGATTGCTTTATTTATTTAGATCTATGTAACTGTAAATATGCATTTACTTATTCATTTTTATTCTCCAATGTTTCAGCAAGGGTGGGGTGGTGGTGGTGGGAGGGTTTTTTTTTTTTGGG